ACCGAATCTATACATATATCATAATGAATTTGTTTCCGTACATATACCTGGACTTGGCCACTCATTTAGAAGCTGCTGAGTTCACAGTCATACTCCCATACTAAAGGGATGCTCAAGGGAAAAATGAAATATTATATTAATTATCATATATTAATATACTCAATATACATACCTACTCGATCTGTTCAGCAATCCACTTCATTTTTATCATATCGAGCTCCAATTTGATCCATCGAATCGAGATTTCCCGATGACTTTCAAACCTAGACGCTTTGATGAATCGGCGATTGTTATTAATTTCCAAACCTCTCACTAATCCAACACTTAACTGCACGTTGTAGAAGACGAGCTCTACTGATGAGCTTGTGGATAGCATAACGGAGCCTGATGGAAAGGAAAAGCCGAATGGGTGGAGTGAGTGGTGGGTTAAGTCGACGAATGACAACAAAGATACTCCCACGGAAATAGGTGGTATTAAGTAGCATCAGATAGTCATCAAGAATAACAACAACAACAATAATATTAACAACAACAACAACAACAACAACAAGGTCAACAACAATAATAATGTTAACAAGGTCAACAACAACACAAACAACAACAACAACAACAACAACAACAACAACACAAACAACACCAACAACAACAACAACAACAACAACAACATCAACAACAACAACAACAACAACAACAACAACAACAACAACAACAACAACAACAACAACAACAACAACAACAACAACAACACCAACAACACCAACAACAACAACAACAACAACAACAACAACAACAACAACAACAACAACAACAACAACACAACACAACACAAACAACACAAACAACACAAACAACACAAACAGCACAAACAACAACAACACAAACAACAACAACAACAACAACAACAACAACAACAACAACAACAACAGCAACAGCAACAGCAACAGCAACAAATCTCAATGTTCCAAAGCGGTTACCGTGTTCCAGGTTTGATATTCCCAAAGAATGATCGAATAACTCCAGCACACCGAGCCTTCAGCTTCACTTTATATTTCAATAAACAGTAGAATCGTATACAGAGTATCTGAGGACCATAGAAAATTTAAAGTATATTCTAGCCTAGAGGGACAGTTATTGTGTTACACTGTAGCTACCAGCATATAAGGACAGCCTTCTTAATTGCATATGCAGTTCTGACATGCGATTTCGCCTCTCATTCGAAAAAAACATTTTGCTGAAGAGTGTAAAAAATCCTGCAAAAAACTCATGAAAATTTCGACAAGTCTAATACTAGAAGTCGCTCTCAAGCAAATCTCGCTATAACATAAACTCATAAATCTACCATCACTTACCGTAACATTATAATCTCTCCAAGTTGGATAATCACTCACAGCCTCCTTTTCAATAGCTAATTTATCTTCCAGCATTCTACTCAGTGTAAACCATCTTTTTCGACGTTCTCTTAGTGAGACTACTATACCACACAAAAAATGAACGACTACAGTGTTAGAGGAATATATGTTCGCTTTCCTCAGGAGCTCCCTGCTTATAGAATTAGGGCAGAAGAGTACAGAAACCAACAAGGTTTCCCAAATTCTCATATATGTGCATATTTCCCTGCACCGAATGACTTCAATCTGCATCGATGCTCTGTTAATTAGCACGTCCATACTAGATAAACACTGGCGTTTTACGTGAAGTGGCGCAATACTCTGTGAAAAACTTCGGATATTCGCAACATGCAGTAGTCGTGAAATATGTTCTTCACTGAGTGTCTCTCGCTGAAAATGAGAAATTTCTTATTAGTTTCTGTACACTTCTACCCAAATTCCTAAACTCAGCGGAGGGAAAGTTATCTTATATTCCAACAGTATTGATATAAACATTGTATCAAAATATGCTTACGTCTAATTTCAGAATCAGCAAATAAAGAGGCGTTCTCGAGCCCCAGTATTGGCTCTAGTTCGGCCCGTGGGACCCCCAAAGCTCGCAAGTCGGCAATTTTCCGAAAAATCTAAAAACTGCGACAAAAACACAGAAAATTGAAGCAGAACAGGCCTACCAGAATTGAAGCTATTCTATCACAAAATGTTGCCGCAGTAGATAAAACTATCCATTGCCTTTGATCTCCATCACGCATCGTTAATGACGTTTCGGGAGCCCTACGAACAGCAATAACGCCGAGAGAAGTTGTCCCAAAAGTTTTCGAGTTGCGTATGCGTCGAACCAAAATTCATAATCTAATAAAATTCAACGTTTTGAATTATTCGTCTTTCTTCCGTATAAATACATAATCATCGAAGTTGTGAATTCATTTGGGAGAATTCCAACTTCGATTTCTTAACAATACATCTCGGCAAGACGAGCTCGCATAAAAATAGTACTTTACGATTGACTCTAAAGTATATCTTCACTACAGTGAATTCTAGACACTACGAGGCATCACATGTGTTCTCTCTAGGCAGCCGACCCCATGTGTTTATGAACTCCGGCATTTTCAACTACTTCAACCGTGTTCAATACACTAAACGGATAAAATAACTTGTGTGCTTATCAACCGTGACAAGTTCGTGCTCATACCAGGAAAAGAAAAAGCAAAGGTCGACTTCAATTACCCCAGACCTAAATAGCTCACATTCCGCCTCCTCGTAAATTGGTCATTGATTCAACACGTTTACTCCACGTTACGCCTCTACTCAAAATGGCTTCCCTCCGATTCGCCGCCAACTCCGAGCCTTCCACTAGACGCTTATAGGCCCTCATTCGGAAGGCTACCTATTATACGCGATGTGATGATGGAGTGGTACGGCAAGTGACCTCAGATTTCTTTTTTCGCCGAAGTATCTTTTGTCGTCTCTCATTTTCTTCACTCTCTGATCTGCGGATTCGAGGCGCCGATTGTGTTCGGTGTACACTCAAATCGGTATACTTTTTGGGCTGCACGGACGAGCCTAGCATTATCATCATTTTGGCATGTTATATGCTATTATGAATTTATTTATATTGTTAGTGGTTTGAGGCTCCCCAGGTCCCCTAGCCGTAGACTCAGTATCACCAACCATGAGACTTTGAGAATGGTAGAGGTAAATATGATCTAAAGTCTCTATCCTACTCCCAGGCTATAGCTAGCTCAGCCCGGATCTACCGCGCTAAGTCTTGGTGTACTGCTTTCCCAGGGACTCTGTCCCTCTACATATAATAATATGAATCACTTATAACAGAATATTGATAAATAAATAGGTCGTTCGCAAGAGGCAGCGTTAGATTATACAAGAATTACTAGCAGAAAATCATCCAGGAATCTATAATGTTTCCGGGGGAATCTCATTCGGAATCTTCGACATGGCTAGGAATACATCCTGCGATCAGTTTCCCACGTGAATGTCATCACATTAGGAGCATATTCCCCTATTGTTATCAAACTCTGGGAAACGTTGTTTCTCAAAGCTGGGTGGTTGTCTGGTTTACAACAGGGATAGCAGGCTTGTGCCAGACAAACATTTCAAAGCGACGTTGCCTTTTCATCCCTCTACGTCAGTTTGCTCACTACATGATAAAACTTTACACACGACTTACAGTAGAAGCGCATTTTCAATAATTTCCTCAGATTTTATTTCTTGTTTCCTATTCGGTTTTGAAATTAACACGAGAGTTCCTCGAAATAATAGCCTACGTCGTAACTGTTCTTCCAGAAGTATCCGCTTGTTGAATTGGCCGCCGATTTTTGGTATTGACTTTGTCGCAGAAAAAGGCCTTCTGAGCTCTACAGGTGGTGCTATTGGCCTGTCGAAAATGATTTTAACTTGGGGGTATTCGAAATCGATAACCCCACTTGCGGCTCGGCGGTGCGCTATGAACTGCTCGTGAATCTAAGGAGAGCCGTGTGAGAGAGGGAATATGCCCAGGGCCAACTACATGTGTTGGTGACAATATATAAATTGTGAGGAAGTTCAGAAACTTATTATTGATTCCTCTATATTTCTACGAAAAATCGGAATAAGCTTGTACAATTAGCTTTGGAAACTCTTAAGCTCAGTTGAGGAAAGCGAACATATATTCCTTCAACACTGGAGGAGAATCCATAAGATCAGAAAGAAGTCGGCAAGAAATAATAATAATTTGAATAATAACAAATTTAATTATCATTGGAGTTTCACGGGCGGCCCTAGTGATATGAAAAACACTAGTGAATCACCGCGAATAATATCACCTTTTCCACATAGTATCACGCCACTTCACGTAAAACGGGTGAAACTCCGTTAATATAAATTATCAATTACTTCCGTTTTAATAATAGCGGAGTTAAATAGCGTCATGACAGAGGAAAGTAAACACCCAACAAAAGTCTTTCGCTTCACCTCTTTTCCATATAGGCATCTCAACGACGTCACTGTGGAGGATCTTTTCGGTTCCCCGCTTAGGACGGCGGACCTCCTACAGAATTCTGCATTATTCTGCGATTCTCATCAGCATGCTATGATGTATGCTGGTATGTCGTAACAACTATGACTTTCTCGAATAATATTTTGCTGATTACATTCTCGAGAATGCCTTCCAAGTTATCGCATATAGATCTAGATGTAGTCGAAGTGAAATCCTGTCTGTTGGTCTTATACACCCAAAATCGACTATTTTGTCACGAGTATTGATCTCATTGATTAAACTGACTTCAATTTCAGAGAGAGCTCTCAGACTCTCCGTAATCTTCTTATTGCTGGCCAACACCAACGGATGCAGCCCTGATCCTCCGACTGACCAAGGCCGCGCTGAATACGAGGAGGAAGCAGGAGCACCCTGACTGAGGGCCTCTTGGAAGAATTTCCATCAACGCACTTTGTTAGATCCGTTGATTAAAACCGATGCAGTGTGCAAGTTTGTACAAGACTGGACAGTACCCCTTATCTCACGATAACCTGAGAGGCTCTGTTAGGCTGGCAAGTCGTGTCGATGAATTTGGGTTAGATCACCTCGATAATGTTTATAGCGTAACTTCTTTTGGAATGCAGAGGAGGAATCGGGCGCTGTTCTACGGCCGTTCGATGGCCTTTGCATCATCAAGATTGCGAGTGTAGTCAGACTATGGGGAAATTAGAGAAATTGTTGATATAATTCAGGACTCTTAGCCGTCTCGATACAAAAAGGGGTCTCTTATTATACTCTGCCTCCGTTTGTCAGCCTGATGAATTTGATTATAAAGTGGATATCACAGAAGAGCCTTAGTAACTTTGATAATGTTGGAAATGACCACAACAACAATACTTGAATCAAGAGCGGACCAAGTGAGCTATAAAACAGATCGACTGAGTGAGTGCAAAGCCTCCAAATTTAGTAACTTCAACTCAACAAATGTGAACCAATCGCTATAACACGATACATGTTTGTCAGCACTTGAAGACCAAAACGGCAATATCCCCTTGGTAGAAGCAGTGCATCAACGAACCGTTCTAAGGAGACAACTCTTAGCTTCCGAGCACAGCACATTCCCACAGATTTGAAATGCCCAGCTCGAAAAATAGATTTTCGATGATAATAATTTCCGCGAAAAATTCAATATAAGCAGTTCTGAGCAAAAACTCTATAGCCGCTTCTGCCTCACAACAGATGTCGAAAACATCGCCCTTCCGAGTCGATCTCTGGCTCACCTGTGCAGTGATGTCGTAACTAAAACCTTTGCCGATCACGCAATGCCACGCTAGACCGTATTGCTTATCGAGAGAATCTTTAATCAATTGTGCTGCAGCCTGAAAAAGGATTAAACCGTCGTATTCCGATTGACTCATCAAATTAAAGCCTCAAAAGGTGTGAAATCACTGAGAGATGTAGTGGTTGTGGAACCAAGTGTTTAATCTCTCCGACATTCTTCGTACGAAACTCAGGTTGCTTGAACACCCCTCGTTTGCATGAAAATTTTGTCAGTGATAGCTGCTATATATCCCATTGCTACTCGATGAGCGATGGTCGTACTCATCTACAGACTAGCTATGAAGTAGCACGTGCAGCACTTTCATCAACATTCATGAATCCTAGTCAGGACATGTACAAGAGAGACCCATACAATAAGGCAGTAGCAAGTGTAGGGAGAACAACTAGTGACCTCCAAGTTGACTCCTTCAGGGGTGGTATGCTTATCGATCGCCCCCACAATCAAGTCCACAACTTCACCTCTGGTATCTCCCGCAATATCCGTATGCTGAGATCACACAAAATAATATCTCGCTAGTCTTGAACAATCGCGCATTTGATCACCTTCACCAATGACCGTTGCATTTGCTTCTTGAGGTCGGCAGGGATGTCCTTGGCAGCCATTAAACGCGAAAGTTTTCAATGGAGTGCTCTGTGATGTGATTGAACCACTTTACACGATACCATCCTGCATCATTTCCAGTGGAGATACGGATACACTGTGCCGCGCTTGCATGTGCCGCGACGAATTAGAACAGTATCTTACAACGCAATTCCTCTCATTATCTACAAACGATGCGACCCCCAGCTAGGGCATTTCTCCGCCAAGGATCCGTATTGTGTTTCTCTCCCATGGAAGCAAGCACCCAAGCATGCCTCACTTTACCCCCACTCCGTATCAATTTACTCTACTGTACTCATAACGTCTGCTATAGATAACCCTTTAAGTTCTTCATAGGATAATAAGTTAATTCATGAAGCTTCAGCCAAGGTCGCACAAATGGGCTATTGCTCTGTCAATAATCCCATCCTAAAATAGATATCGGTGGAATAAATTCCTACGAGTGGGGCAACTATGCCACCCTAAAAATAGACCTCGATGAAACATAATTCACCGAGTGGGGCAACTATGCCACCCTAAAATAGACCTCGATGGAATAAAATTCTCCAAATGGGGCAACTATGCCACCCTAAAATAGACCTCGATGGAATAAAATTCTCCAAATGGGGCAACTATGCCACCCTAAAATAGACCTCGATGGAATAAAATTCTCCAAATGGGGCAACTATGCCACCCTAAAATAGACCTCGATGGAATAAAATTCTCCAAAAGGGGCAACTATGCCACCCTAAAATAGACCTCGACGGAATAAAATTCTCCAAATGGGGCAACTATGCCACCCTATAATAGACTCCCTTTATCGTCGCTTTAACCTTCGTCATTAATCTTGGTCAAAAGTGTGGCCTTGAATTACAAGAGAGTAAACGGTTAATTACCGACAGATTGAAACGGTCCTTAATAACGAGCAATACATGATACAGCAATCACGTTCTTCTGCTCTAAGGCTACTGCCCTTAATTAACGTCGCTCCGCTCCTTCATCCTCTGGGCTTGGCACCTCCGACGAGTCTTCTGATGACTCGAATCCGCTCGACTGGTTGTGCCTGTGCTGCTGTCGCTGCTTGAATTTTTTTTCCTTTTTTTTTCTTTTTTTTACAGCGACATGCAGATGATATATACAAAGAGAGTGCGCTGAGCTACCCAAAGCGGGTTAATTACCGACAGAGGACAGAGGAAGGCTTCGTTTGAATTGGCGGTGGGATCTACCCGTACGCATAGGTAAGACTTTTCTCGTGCGTATGCGTGCAGGATCTACCGCGAGTGCGAGCGCACTGCCACTTAAGCAGATGAAAATCGATCCGCTTCGCCTTCGATTACTCTTACATTAGGTTTGACTTCAGAAGCTACATCTGTGAATTGTGGATGGAAAACAACCGGGGGGCTCCAATAGTCTGCAGCAGAACCCCCGTCGTCTAAAGATATTATTCAATCTAATTTTCCGAGCTGGGAAAATTGAATTAATATACTTCTAGCTCGCCATAGAGTCGTCGCTTCGACCCTTAATCTCCTACTGTGCGAGGAATCGCCTGGTATGATACGATTCTCGGCGAGGCGACGTCGTACAAGTCAGACGATGTAAGTAGGGCTATGGTGTCAATCCTCTCGCGAATCTCGAAGTTGGTCCATCACTGGTGTTGCTCCAATCCTCCATCTTCTCGTGTCAACTGAGAGCGACTTGGCTCGAGAGAAA